ATAGATATGGAGTGGACAGCTTTGTTTTGTGCCTGGCCATAGGCTTGTTGTATATTGCTTTTATATGATTAGGTATATCCCTTGTATCCCTGATCTCTCCAAGAGTTTTATCATGAATGTTAGATGTTAGATCAAGTAGGCTTTTTAGCATTTAATGAGATGATCATATGGTTTTTTTCTTTTAGTTTGTTTATATGGTGTAAGGGGCCGTGGGCCCAAAACTATGCGGCTTAAAGCCCACCTTTGTAAGACTTTTAATGACCTGTAAGTTTTCGGCTTAAAGCCAGCTCTGTGAGCCTCCTGTAACCTGTAATTAGATACGGTTTGGCCAAGCGGAACTGCTAACTGCTTCTGTTCCTCTGTTCGCTATTCCAAGAAAGACCACTAGATGTTCCAGCTGACAAGAAGAATGTTCCAGTCCCAGCAAATACCTGATGTTCCTTCTATTATTCCCCCCAATTCTATTGTTGCAGGGCTATTTAAGCCCACTCTAAGCCCCAGTAAATCGAGACCTGGACATTGTACAGACGGACTCTTGTCCTTTCTTGCGCCGCTTGGTCTCCGTTCCTCTCTCGCCCTCATGACCCCTTTAGGTGACAACCCCCTCAAGACCCGCGAATAACCTGGCCTGCTGGACGGGTCAATATGGTGGATTACATTGACAGATTTTCATATGTTGAATCTTCCCTGCATCTCTGGGATAAAGCCTACTTGATCATGGTCTGCTATTCTCTGTTGAATCTTTGTGTGCTTTGGGTATCACGATGACTGTGGCCTCATAAATGAATTTGGCAATGTTCCTTCCATTTCTATTTTGTGGAATAATTTGAATACTGGCATTAACTTTTTTGAAAATCTGATAGAATTAATTGCTAAAACCTTTTTTCTTTGGGGGCTTTTTTGATTGGGAGACTTTTAATGACTGCTTCTATTTCCTTAGGGGTTATCAGTCTATGTAAATTGTTTATCTGATCTTGATTTAACTTTGCTAAGTGGTATCCATTTGTGTGTGTGTTCCCATATGATGGTGACAATTGTCCTTTCATGATCTATGGATAACTGTATTGGAATTTTGATGGGAATTGTACTGAATTGCTTTTGGTAAGGTGGCCATTTTTACTATGTTAACCCTATTAATCCATGAGCATGGGAGAGCTTTCCATCTTCTAATATATTCAATTTCTTCAAGATCTTGAAGTATTTGTCTTTCACTTGCTTCATTAGTTATTCCAAGGTATTTTATATTACTTGGGGCTATTGTGAAAGGTATTGTTTCCCAGATTTTTTCTTCAATCCCTTTGTCATCTGTGACATTTGTCATATATGGCTGCTAATTTTGGTGAGTTAACTTTGTATCCAGCTACTTTACTGAAAGTGTTTTATCAGTTGTAGTAATTTCTGAGTGGAATTTTTAGGGTCACTTATGTATACTGTTACATCATCTGCAAATAAAGATACTTTGGCTTCTCCCCTTCTCCTTTGTATCACTTGATCTCCTGGAGTTGTTTTATTGCTTTAGCTATGACTTTAGGTACTATATTTAACAGCTATGGAGATAGTGGACAACCCTATCTTGTTCTTGATTTTTGTGGAATTCCTTTGCATTTCTCTCCATTTAAGTTGATTATGGTTCTTTTGTTTGTTTGTTTTTGAAAACTGCCTTGTTTTCCACTTTGCTTAAGATAGGGCCTCTGATATTTACACTTGCATATATGTGGCTGCCTGGCCTTCAAGCTTTTAGGGACTCTGCTGTCTTTGTCTCCCATCTCATCAATAGGAACACTTGGGTTACAGTCACCAGTCTTGGCTTGAATGCAGATTCTGGTGATCTCAAAGCAGATATTCACACTTAACAGTAAGTGCTTTACTCAAAGATCCATGTCCCCATTTAAAAGCATTGTGATGCACACCCTTACTTAGGAGGCAGAAGCAGATTAGTTCCAGACTGACCAGGGCTACAGAGTAAGACCCTATGTCAAAAAGAAAGCTCCCCTCCCCCCAGCAGCAAAAGCCTTGATATTCCTATATAATAATGGAGAATTAACTTGGGAAACTAACCTGAGGAAAGCTTGGCACTGCTGGATCTGATGAGAAGACAAAGGATGAATCCAAATAATAAGAAGCACTCAAATATAGGGAAATCTTTAGAGCTGTACAGTATCCATATGGTTACTGATAATTCAGAAAACTGAATGGATGACACTAGACAGGCACAGTGCCTGAGGCCAACACTGAACACTGCTGCAACATCTCTAGCTATTCACTTCATATGAGAATTTTATTGTTGTAGAATATCATTCAAGTTATTTTGCATCAAACAGCAGTTTAATAATGCATTAATTCTGTGACAATAACTCACTTTAATATAGAAATAAAATGTCTATAAAGGGAAGCCAAAATTAATACAACATGTATCTCTTTGGTTGTTTAGTTTATACCTGCTTATATTAGATTCCAAACTGATTTCTACAGGGTAAACACAAACACAGAAGGCTCCTTTTCTCTCAGGCTCCAAACTTATTTTAAGACTCTCTGTTTTTAGTTGTAAAGTTTGCATTAGCTTTAACCGCTGTCCAACAAGAGTCTCAAGCATCTCAGGAAAGGTCAGCTCCTGAATATTCTGTAATAGAAATAACCTCAGTCCTAATAATAATGACAGGGCTAACCACAGCTTTTTCAGTGGGGTGATTTGTCTCAATTCATTTCTCAGGAGATTGATGGGGTTTGGGTTAACTCTGGGAGCTTTTCTGTATTCTAGAGCTTCAGTCCCAAAGAAAATGTAGAGGTAACAAAACCATAAATTCTGCACCTCTTCTCACCTCATAGCAAACACTGACAGTAGCAGTTTTCATTGGCTAACAGCTGACTCTGTCCTGAGTGAGCCTGTACTCTTAAAGCTGAGCAGGTGCTGATTGGCAACTGCTCCAACTAACTTGGTGCTTGTCATTATCTTCAGGTCTACAACCTTGAGATGAGGCAAACAGATTTGAGACACTAGTAAACGAACAGTAACATTTGGCATTGTACTCTCCTTTGACTGATAAAAGAAATTGGTTAATAGTGTTGAACTGTCCAAAGACTTGGACAGAAATATGCAAGGCGGAGTCCTCCTGGCTTATGGTAGTAAACGTCTTATATGAACATTAGCACCAGAATACTACATAAACAAAAGCAAAACAACACCTGCACTGCATTATCTCTTACATAAGTGCAAGTAGAAAATACTTTTCCCTTAAAAAGTTGTTCTGAGCTATAAGGCAGAATGAGTATACTGTGCTACTGGGGAGCAGAACTTTGAACATGTGATCCAAACCTTCTACCACTGAGCTATACCCCAGCTCTATTCATTGTTATGTGGAATATGTGCTGGAGGTGTGGGTTTATGCTGACATTTGAGCACCTCCTTAGCATACACAAAGCTATGAATTTGATCCTCAGCACCACCTTAAAAAAAAAAAAAAAAAAAAGAGGACTGGAAAGATGCCAGGGGGGCAGGGGTTAAGAGCACTGACTTCTCTTCAGTGGTGCAGTGGTTAAGAGCACTGACTTCTCTTCTAGAGGACCCCGGTTCAAGTACCAGCACCCACATGGCAGTCCACAACTGTCTGTAACTTCAGTTCCAGGAAATCCAATACCCTCACAGACATACACAGGCAAAATACCAGTGAACATACAATTTAAAAAAATAAAATCCTTAACAAATAATACAAGGAAGGGCTGGAGAGATGGCTCAGCAGTTAAGAGCACTTGACTGCTCTTTCAGAGGACCTGAGTTCAATTCCCAAAAACCGATGTGGTGACTCACAACCATCTGTAATGGAATCAGATTTCTTCTACTGGTGTGCACGAAGCCCTCAAATACATAAAATACGTAAATAAATATTAATAAAATAATACAAGGAAGTGGTCTTAATAAAAATGTTGAATTGTCAAAATTACTACCAATCAATGCTAGGCCACATGTAGGCCAGCTGAACTCTAGTCTTCTCTTGGTAACTTTGTAGTCCTTTTTCAATCAATGCCAGGACATATGCAGGACAGTTGAACTCTGGTCTTCTCTTGGTGACTTTGCAGTCCTCTGTCAATCAATGCTAGGCGACATGTAGGCCAGCTGAACTCTGGTCTTCTCTTGGTGACTTTGTAGTCTTTTGTCAACAATCAACACCATAAGACAGCTAAGTCATGCCTATTCATTGTCACTTTGTTGCATGTATACCCTCTAAGACATTCTAAGGGATAAAGCATTTATCTTTCTATCAACTATTCTATTGAATGTGTGTAATATTTCATCTCTAGAACATGAATAACAGTAATATCCATTTATTTCCAGAATAATAGGTCATCCTAAATATAATTCTGTAATGTCTAAGTTAAAGAAGGGCTGTTTATGAAAATTAATATTCAGATAACATGGATATTATCTCTGCACTAGTGAAACAGAAAAGCAAACAGTTAATCTGCAAACACAGAGTCTTCATTTTTATTCTGCAATTCTTGCCTTACCAGCCCAGCCAGAAGTCCCACTCATGTGAGGAGGAACAAGTGGAAAGCTGTGGAACAAATTTGTGAGCAATTGCCATCTTCTCAAGAGAAACTGATAAAATCTCACTGCACTGTTTTCTATGACCTCATGTGTGTACACAATCACACGGTTAGTGTAGGTGGAAGTTCTCTCATCATTCACAAATCTTAAGACACTACTTCTACATGAAACAAATAACAGTCTCAGTGATAGATCATCTACAAACTAAAATTTGAGATTCCAAGAATTAAGAATAATATGTATTAGTCATAATAATATGACTAATCATCCATAGCATATTAACTTACTGCTGACAAAATTCATTTTTGCTGACAAATATTTAGCAGTTTTGACTTTGATTCATTTTCATTCAACCACCATACCTGACAATATACCTTACAATGAAACTGTAATAATTCACTTTATTGGGGCAGTCTGCTTTAAATTAGATAACATATAATAACCTAAAAAAACAAGATTCTTAAGAAAAATCCTTTATTCTAAAGGCTGGTTTACAGAAAGTCAAGTGGGCCAAAGAAAGATTTTATGGCTTATATTTTAATTTATATAATTAAATGTATTTGCAATATTTAAATACTGTTCAAACTTGTTTTTTATTGATACAATTGAACTTTACAACATTGTCATAAAATTATGAACAGAGTCTTTGGAGAGGGCATGGGTAACAAGGGTGGTGGTGGTTTAAATATATTAGCCAGGTTGAGGCATGCAAAAGATAAGACAAGTTCAGTAAATTAATGTGACAATGGTATGTAATTTACCCACTAAAGATTTTACATACTTGGTCACAAAAATAATAGCAAACACCAATTTGAAGTCTAGTGAATGGTTCTACCTCTGACTTGGACAAGAGACGTAAAACTATCTTTGCACTTGCAGCATTAGCTTCACTGGCTGTATTACTGTATCAATAAAGGACTCTGGTGTCATAAAAGCTTACTACCCACACTGAAAAAGAAAATGGTTAGAAACTTGCTCTCTTCATTTGCTCTGTTACTTAAAAAGCACTAATGAATTAACACAGGTCACTGAAGGACCAAAACTCCTTAATATTCACATTAACTTTCCCCACGAAAAGCTTCAAATATAATCTAATAAAAAAAATAGAGTTCTCAAGGCAAATCTTTAGCATAATTTACAGAAGCATATTTAAATAGAAGAGTCCCGAACCACACTAATCCTAAAAATACATATACCCAGAAATTACCCCTTTCTTCTACCTTTATATTAAAGTATAGTGGCCCCAGCAAAGGCTGTGATGCCACCAGGAGTCCCATGAGCAGAAGGGACAAACCAGACAAAGAGATTGGAAGTATCTCTTTATTCCCAAATTTTAGTATGGTTGCATTCAAATTAAAGAGAATGGAGAGGGTTCATGTAACTGTCTGTTTCCTGTGGAACTCCAAGACGGTCTCAACTCCTCCACATTTCAGACAGTAACTTCAGAGCCAGTGTGGCCTTTTATAGGATGAAGACCCCAAATCTGAGGAAGGTGAACTTGTCCTCAGAGTCCTACTGTCCCTTTAACAAGTAGATGAGTCCATTGGCGAGAGAGTCAAGATGCTCCTGTCATTGGTATACAAAGGATCCGATGCACTCCACAACCTTAAAGTAACAATAAGAGAAAAGTTTGGCTCACCATAATCCATGGTTAGTTGAAAACCAACCAACAGAAAACCATAACCAGGACCTCCAAAATGCTAGACAAGCACTTTGAAATTAACTATACCCCTATCCCTCTGTTACTTTTGAATTTTGGGACAAGGTCTGTCTAAGTTATCTAGGCAGGCCTTGAACTTAAATCCTTCTGCCCCAGCATCTCAAGTGCTGAGATTACCAGTGTATACTATATACTACCATGGTGATTAGTATTAACTGTCAACTTGACGATCTGGAATCATCAAGGAGATGGCCTATGGGCATGCCTGTAGGATTATCCAGATTACATTAATTGATGGAAGACCCAAATTATGTGTGTAAGCATAGCTTTCAGTAGGGGATCCTAAATTATATAAAATGGAAAACAAACAAATGAGCTAAGCACTAGCATGCATTCGCTTCTCTGTCCAGACTAGGGATACAGTGTGACTGGCTGCTTAAGCTGCTTTCCCTTGATGTCCCTGCCATGGACTATACCCTTAACCTATGAGGCAGAATATGCACTTTCTTCCTAAAGTTGCTTTTGTCACAAAGTCTATCACATGAACAAGATATGAAACCAAGACAATCACAATGCTAGTCCCCTACCCCCTTTGTGTGTGTGTGTGTGAATCTGATGAAGTGGCTTAGGCCTCAAAATAAGATCTTTCTGCTCCAAACTCCCAAGTACTTGTAATGACAAGTAGGTAACTCATTTATACCTGCAAGTGAAGTACACATGGAATGTCAGTCACTGCTGAAGCATAGCTCTTGGTATAGAATGTGGCATGTCCTATACAGCACCATGATGTTCCCTTGGAAACTGAGGTTGCCATAGTATATGCTCCCTTAACAACATCAGTTAAAATGTACAAAGTTTTTGTGTCTGGATGGCAGAACTCAGCAGGCAGGCCCATGGACCATATGGAAATTGTTTTATTTCTAGAGATGATCAGTATTGTTAATTGTAAAGCAGCCCTGAGCTGCCTCATCTTATACTGGAGGGTTCAGCCTTGCTTCAAAACTGGACATGAAACACAAATGAACAATGGAGGCTGTTCCACATCTAAACAGAAATGCTAAAACTATTTCATACAAATATGTAGAAACAATGACTGTTAGGTGTTTGACACAATGCTGATAGGCTTCAGCACCTGTCATTCAGCCCTTTGAGAAACACCAACCAACTCTGTACTATAGGTCAATTTACACAAACCTTTTGGATTGCTTAGCTACAAAGAGGAGAAAATGACAACAGTAGCCAATGGTATAACCCAAGATGCTGATAGCCTGCCAAACAAAGAATTAACTACTAAAGTCAACATTTTATTAGAAAAAAACAACATAGAAAAATAATGTGGCATAACCTGAGTAAACAGAAATACTCCATCTTAAAGGAGGCATGCTGAAATAAATCCAATAACTCCCAGGCAGACAGATTTCCAATGGGGACAGTTAGAAAAATAGTGGTACAAAGAATGGGGACACCAAATGTACACAACTGAGAGGAAGGGAGTAAGAGTATACAGAAAACAGGGGGGAAAGGCTCATTTAAAATTAATTCTCGTCTTTTTAATCACTAGCAAGTATGTGTATTATCATTAAAGACAATTTTATTAAAGTAAAAACTACTTAGAAGTTCTATTATACGATCTTCATCTAAACTCTATTTGGTTCCAAGCAAGAAGGAATGTCAATAGATAAAACAGCAGCGTAAGACCCTTCTGAAATATCTTTTGGTAAAACTATTAGCTTGGAACACTATAGAACTATCTTATAACTTTTTAAATGTCCGTATGTAAGATACCAATATTCGGATACATTTATCTGCTCATAGCAGTCTGTTTATATAGGATGAAATCACTACTATATTACAGAAACATTTTGGATCCTATGTTCTAGTCAAGTTAAGTGAGGGTGAATCCACAGACAGTGCACCACAGTCACAGCACAACCAAAGGTGAAGTGAGTTGAGAACCTGTTCACATAAGACTGTACTTCATGTTATATGAATGATATCATTCCTGCTAGTTTTCAAAATATAAACCTAACCAAATAATAAATGTGATTTTACCAAAAGGCAAGAATGATGCTTCCTTACCCACTTCATTTATCCCTTAGGGTATGCCCAGGCTCTCCTAGGCCATTGGTTTACTATTCTGACAGCACACTGAGACAATGGGAATTACCATCTGTCTGCGTCAATCACAACCTTTACCAACATCCAGTGTGTTGCTGCTTTGACTTGGGGAAGCAGTTTGAGACCAAACAGAGGAGATTTCACTGTCTAGACCTAATAATCATCTACATCTTATGTAAATACACAAAAAAACAAAGCAGAATTTAAATGTTATTTACCCCAAAATGGAAATTTGGGCTATGACTTTGGAAATCAGTATGGCAATTCCTAAAGAAAATGGAAATCAGTCTACCACAAGATCCAGCAATTCCATTCTTAGGCATATACCCCAAAGAAGCACATTCACACAACAAGGACATCTGTTCAACCATGTTCATTGCAGCATTATTTGTAATAGCCAGAACCTGGAAGCAACCTAAATGCTCCTCAACTAAAGAATGGATAGAGAAAATGTGGTATATTTACACAATGGAGTACTACTCAGTGGAAAAAAAATAATGGAATCTTGAAATTTGCAAACATCCTGAGTGAGGTAACCCAATCACAAAAAGACAAAAGTGGTATGCACTCACTCATAAGAGCAAAGGATTACCAGCCTACAATCTACACCTCCAAGGAAGCTAGGAAACAAGGAGGATCCTAAGAGAGACATACATGGTCCCCCCAGAAAAGGGGAAAGGGATAAGATTTCCTGAGCTAATTAGGAGCATGGGAAAAGGAGAGAGGGAGCTAGGAGAATGAGAAGGGGAGAAGAGGAGGGGTGAGGAGGACAAGAGGGAGCAGGAAGGTTGAATTGGGGGAAGACTAGAGGAGAGCAAGATAAGAGATACCATAATAGAGGGAGCCATTATAGGTTTAAAGAGAAATCAGGCACTAGGGAAATGTCCCGAGATCTACAGGGATGAAACCAACTAACCATCTAAGCAACAGAAGAGAGGCTACCTTAAATGCCCTCCCCTGATAATGAGATTGATGACTAACTTATATGCCATCCCGCAGCTGATGGAAGTAGAAGCAGACACCCACTGAACTGAACTGGAATCCAGTTGCAGAGAAGGATGAGTGATGAGCAAAGGGCTCAAGACAAGGCTGGTGAAACCCACAGAAACTTCTGACCCGAACAAGGAGGAGCTCTTGGTCCCCAGACTGATGGCTGGGAAACCAGCATGGGACTGATCCAGACCCCATGAACGTGGGTGTCAGTGAGGAGACCTCGGAAATCTATGGGGCCTCTTGTAGTAGATCAGTACTTATTCCTAGCATAGGAATGTACTTTGGGAGCCTATTCCACATAGAGGGATACT